TTGAAGATAATGATACACAAATGCAAAATTTAAAAAATCCTCCATGTCAATTAGGGACATGCCGACTAAAACTACAGTGATGGGGGCCAGCAGATGACATAACGGTTATGTCACTGGATTCCCACATGGCTGACCATAATTTGAATCCCAGACATGGAGGCTTGAAAATCATGCCAGGTACATGTGCATATGTGCCCAAGATCCCAGGAGGAAAACAGAGAAGGGATTGAGGAGTGGCCATGCCCCCTTTGGGAATGAATTCTCACCTTCCTTCCCTTCTCTCAGTCTCTGTCTCTCTTTCTGGCAGGTGGCTTGAAAAACACTCTGGGCATGTGTGTATGCCCCAAAGCCCAACAGGATGGAAAAATGGAGAAGGGACTGTGGTGTGACCACCCGATTGCAGAGTGCTCTCTCTCTCTCTCTCTCTCTCATTCTCTCTGGTAAGTGCATATTCCTCCTAGCAAGCAAATACACCCTCTGGCAATTAAAAAACAAAAACCCTAATTATTTACCACTGCACACTTAGAAGCACTAAAAACAAAAACTAATAAAACCCTGAGAATGACAAGTGCTGGTAAAGATACAGAAAATCAACTCACCCTTTCTTACCGAGTCCCTGGCAATCGCTGACCTTTTTTCTGTCCCTATCGTTTTGCCTTTTCCAAAATGTCATATAAATGGAGTGACACAATATGCAGTCCGAGCCCAGCCTCCTTTACTTAGCACAGATGCCTGCGAACTATGGCCTGTTGCCTGTGTTTGCATGGCCTATGAGCTAAAGATGATTTTTAAATGGTTGGGGGGAAAAATCGAAAGTCTATTTCATGACATGTGACTATTATATGAATATCCACATTTCTGTGTCCATAAATAAAGTTTTAGTGGAGCACAGTCATACTCATTCGCTCACCTGTTGTCTATGGAGGCTTTCATACACAAAGACAGAGTTGAGTGCTGTAGTCTCTTCCACGCTGTTTCACTTTCTGTGGTTTCACTGTAGTTACTTGTTCGCAACCACAGTCCAAAAACAGTTGAGTGCGGTACAATAAGATATTTCTGAGAACCACATTCACATAACTTTGATTACAGTATATTGTTAAAATAGTTCTAGTGAGGGGACCAGCAGGTGGCGTGGTGGTTAAGGCGCTGGACACTCCCACATGGCCAAGGGGGGTTTGAGTCCTGAATCTGGTGGCTTGCTTTCTCACTTCCTTTCCCTCTCCCCCTCCCCCTCCCCCTCTGTCTCTCTCTGGTCAAATTTAAAAAAAAAAAAAAGAAAAGAATGAATAAATAAAAAATAAAATAAATAATTATTTTAAAAATAAGTAAATTAATTAAATAAAATAGTTCTAGTGTATTAACAGTTACTGTTGCTTGGGAATCAGCAGTTAGCATAATGGCTATGTCGCTGAACCCCCACGTAGTCGACCGCGGTTCGCGTCCCGGACCCAGTGGCTTAGAACTCACGCTGGGCGCGTGTGCCTGCGTGCCCAAGATCCCAAGAGGAGAATGAAGAAGGGATTGTGGCATGGCCATCTCCTTGAGGGGTGATTTCTCGCTGTCTCTGTCTTTCTGGTGAGTGCAGGTGCCCTATAGGAAAAAAACCACTTCTCCCCACCAAAAGGTATTGTTGCTAATATCTTACTCTACTTAAGTTATAAGTTAAACTTCACATAGTATGTGTGTATAGGAAAAACCACAGTACACATAAGGCTCATGACTATCTCTGGCTTCTGGCTTCAGGTATCCCCTGAGTCTTGGAACTAGACCCCACAGGTAAGGGGCAACCACTATAATTATGACAGAGACCACAGGAAGTGCTTAAGTATTTATTTATTTATAAAAGTTTTTAAAAAAAGAATTATTTAATTATTTACTCATTCATTTATTTTTTAATTTGACCAGAGAGATACAGAGATAGAGAGAGAGAGAAAGTGAGAAAGCAAGCCATGAGGTCCAGGACTCAAACCATGGTCAGTCATGTGGGAGTGTCCAGCGTCTTAACAACCGCACCACCTGCTGGCCCTGCCTAAATATTTATTACCTGCTCATTCACATTAACATTTTTTACAAGGTTAAATATACACTTACTGCTATGGTCAGGATAATGCTTTATTCCCTAAAGGCTTGTTTTTGAATTGGGTTCCCAGTGTGACAGTTGGAGAGGTGAGGCCTAGTGAGCAGTGACTGGACGACAGAGTCTAGGTGAGGTCTATTGTACAGCGATCAGATCGTAGAGACAACACTCATGACTAGATGAACGATGATCCAGTGAGTTCAAGCTCTCATGAGAAGGGATTCTTTCTCACTAGCGTAGGTTATGATAAAAGAGAGAGGTGCCCACAGCTTAGCTCTCTCTGTCTGAGCCCACTCTTCTCTATTTCTGTAGGTTACAGTCTGGTCACCAGAACACCTGAGTCAATAAACCTCTAATTCTTTAGGTATCACCCAGTCTCAGGTATTTTTGTTAGCAACTGAATTATGACCAGAGAACCCAGCAATCTTCCTGGGCATCTACCCAAGAAAAATTAAAACCTATGTTCACAAAATCTACATGTAAAAGTTCCCACTAGCGGGGAGCAGCAAGTGGCGTGGTGGTTAAGGCACTGGACATTCCCACATAGCGGATCGCAGTTCAAGTCCCGGATCTGGTGGCTTGCTTTCTCACTTTCCCCCTCTCTCTGTGGCTCTCTGTAGTCAAATTAAAAATAAATGAATGAATAAATAAAATTAAATAAATAATTCTTTTAAAAAAATTTCCAGCAGCTTTATTTATTATCACCTAAAACTGTAGACAACTCTAATGTCCTTCAACCGGTCAAGGAATAAACTAACTGTGGAATATCCACACAATGAACTATCATTCACCAACAGAAATGAACAAATATTGATACAAATGACAACATGGATGAATCTTGAATCATACTGAGAAGCAAACTTGGTCTGTAAAGGGCCAGACAATGAAATTTTCAGTCTTCGTGGCTGAATAACAATTGCATAAGCCTCCAGATTCTGTATAACTGACCACTAAACACAACGGAGGACAAGGAATCACCCCCTGTACAATCAAAGAACTGATTCCCTGGGCTGCTCTGTGATGTAGCAGTTGAGTGCTATGCATAGGGATCTAAATCCCACATGGCCGAGCACAGTTCAAATCCTGGCCTTGAGGCTTTAAAATCATGCTGGGAGTGAAACCAGCAGGTGGCATAATGGTTACGTTGCTAGACTCCCATGTAGTCAACTGTGATTCGAATCCTGGACCCAGTAGCTTAAAAACCTGTGCCAGGCTCCATGTGTATGCGTGCCCAGAATTCCAAGAGAATGGAGGAGAAGGTACTGCGGTGTGACCATCCCCCTTCGGGGGTGATTTCTCAGTTTCTGTCTCTCTGACGAGTGCAGGTGCCCTATAGCAAGCACATGTGCCCTACAGAAAAAAGCTCTCTGAAAAAAAAAAAGAATAAAAGGAAAACGTGCTTGGAGCTTATGAGTAGATGCCCAATTGTCTTATGGGAATGGGAGGTAGTGGGCAAAGGACTTCATCATGATCACACCCCATTGGGGGTGCTTTTTCTGTTTGTCTCTCATGCTATTGCGTGCACTTGCCCTCTGGCAATTAAAATAAAAACTCCCTAGGGCCAGTAAGGGGCACAGTGGCTAAGGCATTGGACAACCACGTGGTTGACCACACAGTTCAAGTTCCAGATCTGACGGCCTGTTTTCTCACTTTCTCTCTCTCTGGTGAGTGCACGTACCCTAGAGCAAATTAAAAAATAATAATAATAAATAAAACTAAGTAATTCTTAAAAAATAAACTTCCCCCGAAACTTAACTACTATTAGCCTATTGACTATAAACTTTATTGAAAATATAAACAGTAGTTAACACATATTTTTTAAGTTACATGTATCATATGATGCATTTCACATAAAGCTAAAGAAAATGTTATCAAGAAAATTGTAAGGAAGACAGGTTCATTTACAATACTACACTTTCCAATATTTATTGAAAAAGTCCACACGTAAGTAGACCTGTACAGTTCAAATCCATGTTGTTCAAGGGTCACCTTTACTGTCACCTTTTATATTTGAAACCTATAGAATGGCTTCTATTTTCTGATATAAATAGTGAGTAAAGGCACATGAATAGAATCCTCAGTTTAGATGGACACACGGAATATACTATATTTTAATTCTTTGTTATGGCGAGGTATAGTCCGGCAACTTAGCTGTGGCCAATGTAAAGTAAGTGAAAGGATCATGTATAATTTCCTGAGAAGGAGCCATAAAAAGGGGATATGCTTTTCTACGTGCTTTTTCCCCTTACTAAAACAGACTTGACATCGACAGAGCTTTGGCAGCCATCCTGAAGCAGCAGCAGCCACAACTCAGGAGGAATCTGGACTCGAGGCTTCTCAAAGCACTCTTCTAACTCTGGAGTACTCATCTCTGGATTTGTGTGATAAGAAAGAGTTCTAAGAGTTTAAGCCACCTTTTTTTTTTTCTCACAGCCAAAGCTAATCCTACTTATATAGTTAGATACGATGGCCTTCCCACACCTTTCCTCTAAATTCCATTTTTTTGTAAGACATTTCTGCAGTAGGGCACATGAGTTCACCAGAGAGAGAGAGGGGCAGAGACAGTGAGAAGAAAGTAAGAAATCAATTACCGCCTCCACCCCTCCCCCCCAGGAGGTATGGCTGCATTGTAATCTCTTCTCCTCCACATGCACCCAGTGTGATTTTCAAGCCACTGTGTCTGGGACTTGAACCACAGTTGACCATGTGGGAGTCCAACAATGTAATCACTGCACCATCTGCTGGTCCCCTAAATTTCTTTTTTACAAACAATCTTAACGGATAAAAATTTTGCACACTTCAGAAAAATTTGAACAGCATTTGGGTTGAACATCTACTACAAGAATTAAAGAAAAAAAAAGTCTGAGATACAATTCTAGACTCACATCAGCCTATTTCCACATTATGCTATTTCTCACAGTACCTGTGGCCCAGTAGTAAATATCCCAGTCATTACTAGGCTCATTAATCAGGCGATCATAGAGGTTTAGCTGCTTCTCTGTCATGCGGTGCAGATATTCTTTAGCAAAGAGGCTAGAAATGAAGTAAAAAAAGAAAAAGAGGCTGAAAAGGCTGACCTTAAACAATGAGAAGTAAGACCAAGACTCTAGTTCCCCTACCTGAGAAGAATGCAGTTTTCCAACATCCCCCTCTTTCTGCTCTCATAGAGCAGGCGAGCTCTTTTGGTTTCTATAGATTCATCTGTTCTCTCCTGCCACGGAGGCAAAGGGATTTCAATCATGTCCTTTTGGGAATCTGCCGGGCTGTCACCTCTGTAGAAACATCTGCCTGATGTGACACTGAGCAATGGAGACAACAGGCTGTGCCTTGAGGGAGCAAGCAACTGAGAGAAATAAACCACAAACATATTTAATGGTGATGACAACCACTGTCATTTACCCAATGCTTACTAGATGCTAAGACTCTGGCTCTCATTTAATCATTAAGAAGTTACGCTGAATCTGTCCCAACTTACAGCTGAGAAGACTAATGCTTGGAGAGGTAAAATAATTTGCCCAAGAGACCAGCATATGGCGTAATGGTTACGTTGCTGGACTCCCACATAGTCAACCACGGTTCAAGTCCCAAATCCCGTGACTTAAAACTCACGTCGGGCCCATGTGCGTGCACGCCCAAAATAACGAGAGGAGAACAGCGAAGGGATTGCAGCATGGCCATCCCCCATGGGGGGTGATTTCTCACTGTCTCTCTGGTGAGTGCATGCACCCTATAGTAAAAATCTCTCTCTCAAAAAAAAAATTTACCCAAGATCATCCAAATATGAGGGGGCTTAAAAAAGTTCACGAGGGACCATCAGATCATGTAATAGTTACTTCGCTGGACCCTCGCGCAGTCAATTGTGGTTCGAGTCTTGAACTCAGCAGCTTAAAACTCACTCCAGGTGCGTTTGTGTACCCAAAACCCTGAGAAGAGAATGGAGAAGAGATTGCAGCATGGCCATCCCCCGGGAGTTGATTTCTCACTTTCTGTCTCTCAGGTGAGCACACACACCCTGTAGAAAAAAAATCTCTCAGAAAAAAAGTTAATGAAAGGGACCAGCAGATGGCAAAGTGGTTATATTGCTGCACTCCCACAAGGCTGACTGTGTTTCGAGTCCCAGACCCAGTGGCTTGAAACTCATGCTGGGCACAGGTGTGTGCATGCCCAAGATCCCAGGAGGAGAATGGAAAAGGGATTGAGGCATGGCCATCCCTCCGAGGAGAGATTTCTCACTTTATCTCTGTCTCTCTCTCTCTCTCTCTCTTTCCAGTGACCACACACACTCAAAGGCAAAAACCTCTAAAAACTAAAATTAAATTAAATTAAATTAAATTAATGGGGAAAAAATACATTGTCTTTTTATTCAGCCTGAAACATGCCAGGCACACGTGGATCCCACAGGCTGGCAGAGGAGAGCAAGGCCATCGTCACAGTGTAACCAGACCTGTGGAAGGTACTCATCTCTCCCTCCCTGCCTCTGGTTTTCAGAGGCAGGCACATGTGCTCTATCATGAGTGAAGAAAAAAATGTTAGAAAAAAACAAGATACAGCGTAAAGGTAGTAACATCAGCAAGATGATAAAATAGGAAGCCTCAGGCCTCCTTCCCCTAACAGAAACACTGACTTAACAATACACAGACAAGTTGTCTACGTTAGGCGTTTCTTGCACTCCCAGTGAGTAGGAACGCGCTAAACTGAAGCCAACAGCATTCACTCTCCATCCCAGCTCAGCGTGGGACATTCAGAATGCTCTCAGCTTCTACCTAGGGAAGGAGATGACTGAGACGTATGTCCAATGTTCAGACTTTCCGGGAGATGGCCCTATCTAAGGGGTGATAGGAAAGGGTACCAAGTTGGGGGCAGCAGAGAACAAAGGTGACAGAGTAGACCAGCAAGCACTCAGTTTTCATAGCCCTCCTGACTCAGTGCAGAATGAGCAGGAGAGAGCCCCCACATCCCAGTTTCTCCCTAGGAAGGGAAGGAGATGGAGTGAGCCTCCAATGTTCCCATTTTTTGGAGGGCTGTGCATGAGACCAGTTTGTTTATCTTGTCTCTGAGCACTCAAACAACCTAGAATATTCTAGATGCCTGGGGAAAACTGGGAACAAAAGAGAGGAACATGGCTTGCCATTGATCCAGAGCACCCTTGAGACAGTACAGGCCAAGACAGCTCAGTTCTCTTCGGGGATAGGGGAAGGGAACAAAGTAAATGTGTGTGTCCAATGTAATGATTTTTTGGGAAGCTACCTAAAGGACTAGTTTCTGTCCTACCAACTTGGGCCAATAGTAAGCACACTCCAAAACTCTGGGAGATACTGAGAATAAGAGAGCTGAGAGACTCCTGGCAGCTCTAGAGAAATTGCAGTACCATATACAAACACCAGAGGGAGCAAGAGAATAGGAGCTCTTGAAAAAGACACAGGGAAATCCCTTATTTTGTAATTTATACCCACAAGTCCAAAGAAGATAACATCCTGAAAAAAGGATAAGAGGCCCTCAGAATCTCTTATCATGCTGACTGGTCATAGTCAACTGTTGAGAAGCCAGTTCACAAAGACTGGGCAAGAGTTAGGGTTTTCAAATGCAAAGATCCCAGTACAAAATTGGAAGGCGTATGAATAAACCAGGAAACATGACACAATCAAAAGAATGAAAAACTAACTCTAAAGAAATAGAAGTATATGGGGCCAGCGGGTGGTGTGGTAGTTAAGGGTGCTGGACTCCCATATGGCTGACTACGGTTCAAGTCCCGGACCTGGCAGCTTCCTTTCTCATCTGCCCCCACCCCAACTCTGTCCCTCTCTGGACAAATTAAAATAAATAAATAAATACAGTTAAATAAAATAATTCTTAAAAAAAAAAAAAGTATATGAATTGCCCAAAAAAGAATTCAAAGGCTCAGAAAATGATGAACAAGGGACCAGCAGTTAGCGTAATGGCTATGTCGCTGGACTCCCAGGTAGTAGACCACGGTTCGCATCCCGGACCCGATGGCTTAAACTCACGCTGGGTGCATGTGCGGGATGGCTTAAGAGGAGAATGGAGGAGAAGGGATTGCAGTGTGGCCATCCCCTAGGGGGGTGATTTCTTGCTTTCTGTCTCTCTGTCTCTCTCTGTCTCTCTGGCAAGCACATGCACTCTACAGCAAAAACCTCTCCAAAAAAAAAAAAAAAAAGATAAATAAAATGAGATTATCAACAATAAAAATATTAAATAAATAAATATATTCAACCACACAGAAACTCTAAAACTGAAGAATACAATAAATGAACTCCAAAATTCACTAGAAGGGTTCAAAAGCAGACATGAGCAAAAGAAACAACTGGCAAACTCAAGGAAAGGTTATCTGAAATTAATCAGTGGAATAAAAGAAAAAAAGGAAAAAGAGGGAAGAAAGCCCAAGAAACTTACGGGACACTATCAAGTAGGCCAATATATACATTATGGGAGTCCTAAAGGAGAAAGGAGCAGAAAGCTTATTTGAAAAAATAATGGCCAAAAACTACAAAACTTGGGGAAAGAAATGAACATACATATTCAAGATGCCTAACAGATCCTAGCTAGCATGAATTCAATTAAGTCCACACCAAGATTCACCATAACTAAATTTTCAAAAGTCAAAAAAAGATTAAAAAAAAATAGTCAGAGAAGAGGTATCAGGCAACTGCATGCCCAGAGAAAGTCCATATGCATACACGGTGAAAAGGTGGTTATCTACGAGCCAAGAAGAGAGCTTCAGGAGAAACTAAACTTGCCGACACTTTGATCTCAGACATCTAGTCTCAAGAACTATGAGAAAACAAATTTCTGTTATTTAAGTCATCAAGTCTATAGTATTTTGTGATGGTCGCTCTAGCAAACGAATACAATATATAATAAAAATTCAGATTCCCAAGCCCTAGACTAAACACACTGAATAAGAATTTCTAGGATTAGGCCTTGGCAAGGGTTTTGTTTGGTTTTTGTTTTTTAGTTTTTGTTGCAGGGTGGTGTGTGTGTGCTCATAAGAGAGAGAAAGAGAGACAGACAGAGAAAGAAAGTAAAAAATCATTCCCAGGAGAGATGGCCATGCTGCAATCACTTCTTCATTCTCCCATTGGGATTTTGGGCACACATGTACACAATAGCCAGTCTGATTCTCAAACCACAGAGTCCAGGACTCAAACTGTAGTCAGCCATGTGGGATCCAGCCTCCTCAACCTCCATACCACCTGCTGGCCTCACAAATGCATTTTTTTTTTTTTGGAGAGGTTTTTGCTATAGGGCGTGTGCACTCGCCAGAAAGACAGAGAGAGACAGAGAGATAAAAAGCGAGAAATCACCCCAAAGGGAGGAAGGCCACACTGCAATCTCTTCTCCTCCATTCTCCTCTTGGGATCCTGGATACACACACATGCACGTGACCGGTGTGAGTTTAAGCCACTGGGTCCAGGACTTGAACTACGGTTGACTACATGGGAATCCATAACATAACATAACATTAGCCATAATGCCATCTGCTGGTCTTGGCAAATGCATTTTTTAACAAGCCCTATAGCAGACTTGATGGTTACAGAAGGTAGAAATCCTATTTTCTGTACTAAAATAACAATAGTTGAGCAATTTCTATAGAATGAAAGAGGATGGGGAAGGGCCAATATCATCAATAAAAAGAAACTGTTCTGGGAACCAGCAGATGGCATGGTGGTTAAGGTGCTGGTCATTACCACATGGCTGATTATGGTTGAAGTCCTGGACCTGGTAGTTTGCTTTCTCACTTCCCCTCTTTCTCTCTCTCTCTCTCTCACTCTGTCAAATTAAAAATAAATGAATGAATAAATAAAAAAATTTTTTTTCAGCACTTTATTTCCCCAGGCTATGTTACTGAAGTTCTTCCAATAAAATTTTTTTAAAAAGTAAACTGTTCTAATAATTGGGATCTCTTATTATTCTGGACAAATTTCACTCATTGTTTTCTCCCGTTAGTATTAAAACAGCATTCTGGGACCAGCAGTTGGCATAATAGCTATGTCGCTGGATTTCTAGGTTGACTGCAGTTTGAGTCCCGGACCAGGTAGTTTAAACTCACTCTGGGTGCATGTGTGTGTGTGCCCAAGATCCCAAGAGGAGAATGAAGGAGAAGGGATTGCAATATGCCCATTCCCCCTAGGGGGTGATTTCTCACTTTCTGTTTCTCTCTCTTTCTGGTGAGCACATGTACTCTATAGCAAAAACAAAACAAAACAAAACAACAACAAAAAAACCCCAAGCATTCTTCAATAAAACATTATTAGATATCGCATGGACCCATGAGTCTTAAGGAACTGTGTGACACTGGTTATGAGCCACGCAGAAGAAACTGAC